AGTGCACCTAAACTGTCCTGAAAAGTCCCCTTGTGAAAATATTGAAGTGTGGAATTTACAACACAACAAAATAAACGACAGAGCATAACTGTAAACGACAGACGTTTTTCTATCGTCAAATGATAGATATTGTCAAATCACACAGCCCTAGTAATAATTAATTTATCCAAGATAAATATCAAAAACTTGTCTCATTTATAATTAAATATTTTATTAAATCACCCTGAAAAAGAGACACATAAAGCTCATTAGAATGATCATAGTGACATATAATATTAATAATAATAACAGACCCTATTTGTCAGATGCCTGATCAGAAAAATATTGGACCTCAAATTCATAAGGATTGCTGTGACACAGATTCATTTGAATACTGCATGTGAAACTTTCCCTGACCTGGAGATTTTTACTGAATTACTTGACTTGAATGAGTATTTTGCAGTAAGATAATCACTGGTATATTTATTTTCGCATCAATGTGTGGCAAAGAAAACAATTTACAGACTGTAACAACTGTTAAAGTAAACAGAAAAGATGAAACAGCTGAACCAAAGAGTGCATAAAAGAAGAGGAGGTAGCCACCGTGACGTCACCCATTGTTTTTGTGGATTGCCGTTTTGAAGCCTCAGATTGGTTTTTAGGCCGCCGCCGTCATTTGTCCGTTTCTAGCTCTAGCTAGCTTGGTTAGCAATGTGCATCCAGAATTCACATTAACGGTGATTTTAATGCTGATTTTAATTTGGATGCTAATTTTGGCTAGTGAAAAAAAGGCTTAAAACAAAATGAACAGCTGACTCCAGAAGCAGGTTATGCAAAACTACATATTTTTGTAATCGATCATGGCGATTACAACAATGAATCGCCCCAGCCCTAATTATATGTCAAGATGATTGCAGCTTTAATGTAAATGCTGTCAGCTGATCTAAAAGGACCACAACACTGCACATGCAATATAACACACTTTGAAAACAAAGTTCGAGGACCATGGTGTCCTATGATGTGACCTCTTTGTTCACCTGCATCCCCACCATGAAACGGCTACTTCAAGACAACACCCTGGACAGCAGAACCAACCTCAGCCCTGTCCAGATCTGTAAATTACTCGACTTCTGTCTAAACACCACCTATATCCAATACAACGGATGATTCTACAGACAAAAGTATGGCTGTGCCATGGGCTCACCAGTGTCACCTATTGTGGCTAGCATCTCCTCAACTCCTTTAAAGGAACAGCACTGAGCCACTGGTACAGGTATGTGGATGACACTTGAGTCAAAATTAAAACCCAAGAAGTGCAAGGAGCCTGCAAATTGGAATCCACACACACGGATCAATACTTACTTTTTGATTCCCACCACCCACTGGAACACAAGCTAGGGGTCATCAGAACCCTGCAACACAGAGCAGACCACATACCAACAAATGCAAAAGCCAGAGAGAAGGAAACGAAACCACCTGAAGTGGGCACTTGTGGATACCCCAAATGGGCCTTTGTGAAAACAGCCACAAAATCCAGGAAGAAGACCAACACTACAGGGGATGAGGAGAAGAAGGTGAAACGCAACAATATTGTGATTCCATATGTGTCTGGAGTATCAGAGAAACTTTGGAGGATTTTCAACAAACACCACATCCCTGTGTTTTTTAAACCCAAGAACACGCTAAAACAGATACTGGTACACCCCAAAGACCACACACCCAAACTCAAGAAAAGCAATCTAATGTATGCGGTCCAATGCAGCGAGGAATGCACAGACCTGTACATTGAGGAAACTAAACAACTACTACACAAACCCATGGCTCAACACAGGAGTCTTAACTCCTCAGGGCAAGACTCAGCAGTTTATTTACATCTGAAGGACAGAGGACACTCGTTTGAGGATCACCAGGTGCACATTTTAGACAGAGAAGGTGGATGGTTTTAAAGAGGTGTCAGGGAAGCCATCTACACCCGGGTTGAGAAGCTATTGTTGAACAGAGGAGGGGGTCTACGCCACCACTTATCCCTCACTTACAACGCTGTCCTTTCATCACTTCCCAGGAAACCGAAAAAGCATTTCCTCTTGGCCTCAGGTGAAGTTGCCAATGATGGTCATTCAGACTTGGCCACAGGTGGCTCTAACGACCATGACGATAGTCACTACCACTAACCAGGAGCACTAATGAACCAGCGGAATCAACAATCCTAGCTAATGATCCCAGAGGTTAAATAGCTGAGTTTCCCTAACAGTCAGTCAGAACTGAAGGAGTCTCTTCAACCAAGTCCAGTTGCCCTTGACCTCAACCTTCGTTGGATAACACACTTACAACTCAGCACAGCCTTAGCCATTGGTTACGACCTACTTCTCTGGGTCAGTCATACCTTCACAATGGTCCCATGGCCCTAATGAGCGTCCTAGTTTTATTCCTGACTGTATCAGGAACAGGTGTGAAGATGTGGACGGATGCACACAGAACGAAAGTTAATACATGCACAGACAAGACACGAGCTACAAATCATTAATCACTTAGTCTGTAAGAAAACAGTGAAAAAAGTTTCATCACAATTTCCAACGGTTTTGTCCAGTTAAGAGTCAACAGATCAACAGATAATGTTGGGTATTTTTAATTGATAAATGACAATAGTAACAGCTAATATAATTTTCTGTTGACTGATCCCTTAATTATCTAATCATTTCAAAAACAATCAACACAAGGCAACTCTTCAATCAGCTTGAAGTTGTGTGTATGTGTGGACAGAAAGTCACAGTGGTACTAAATTCCTGTCTCACTCTCAATCTGTTTGCCAGTTTGCCTGAAGTGGACGTTGATCTCTGAGCTAACTAAAGGAGCCCTAAAGATACATCTAAGCAGCCACATTCTCTGTGCAGGCCATAAAGACGTGATGTAAAGATTTGTTTTTAACTCTAAAATGATTTGTTATGGCTATGAAGCACTGTATCACACTGATGCAGCGAAAACTGCTGCAGCTTTATGGAGGTTTCTGACAACGCATAGCTCATTGTGCATTGGGGAGTGTGTGTGAGTGTGTAAGAGAAGGAAAAATAAAGAAAGAGCTGCACTGACTTGTAACACCACTCTAAATGCAATGTGAAAAAGGTCTCTTTGGATGGGGCAACAGAAATCAAGCATGCTTTAAACACTGTCAAGAACAAGCCCCGCTCAAGAGCAAGGATATTACATTATGATCTATGAGAATGCCTTTTGAAAAACATGCATACACAATACAGAAAAAACAACAAGTATTCAGAGCACTGCACTGTCCTTTGAATGTTTGATTACAATTTTTTTTAATCCAGCCCCAAAATATGCTAAACTCCTGAATTTCAATTACATAAGAGAATAAAGGGTTTCAAATTCTGGTGTTAAAGGAGCAGCTTTATGTCACACACACTGCCATGCAATTTATTCTGTTCTTACTTTGATCCCGACCTTCTTACCTCATATTTAATGGCCTTGGAAAAACACAGGCGCAGAGCAAGAACAACATAAAATGCCCTCTGAAACGAGAGTATTTTCCATATATGCAAAAACAGTTTAACTTTTATTATTTTTAAAGTGTATATTTCAGGCATCCAACTGCAGCAGAGATAAACACATTTGCTGTACACTTATCGGGCTTGTGCTACCCTCACCTCTCCTCATTATGCTTTCATAAAACCTCAGATCTGAATAGGCCAGATGTGCAAATCTTTGAATGTAGGAGCATGCTATAGCGATTTCACATCTGTCTACTGCAACTGGTTAAATAATGTTCCTTTTGCTTTTGCTTTTTATCTCTAGGATCTACCTCTTTCCTATGTATACTTTTCTTGCAAAGCGCCCATCTTATCTGAGAGGTATTAAGAATGTGATTCATAAAACATCCAAGGACATCCATGTGTGCGTGTGTGTGTGTGTGTGTGTGTGTGAACACCAGCATGGTGTTGCTGAGGCCTAAATCTGTCTCTAACTCTTAATTAAACCCTGGGCTCCAGTGGCCCTAACTTATTAAAGACCAAGAGTATGTAACACCCCCACCCCCACCCCACCCACGCACACACCCACACACAGACCAATGTACTCACACGCTTCCTTTAAGCTCACAACACTCCACCTTTAAGCTACCAATGATTTAATGCATCTCAATATTTCACCTTCTGCTGCTGCTTAGTGACCCACTTGCAGAGAAATAAATTATTTCCTGGACTCTTTTAGCACTCACTTGAAAGTACTGAAGGAGATTCCACAGGATTTCTACTGAGTGAAGTTTCCCGTTTTAAAAATAGTTTTAATGGAATTTGTGCTTTATTACTTTAAAGTATGCCCAGCGAGAAAAGTGGGCGGAGAAACTTTTAAAAAAGAGAGCAGAGATGCAGAGCGAATGCAACAACCTGAACAAAGAAAAGACATATTACCAGTGATTATCTTACTGCAAATTATAAAACATATTACTTCGGTCTTCTTTCACTTGCATTGGTTACCGGTAAAATACAGAATTGATATTTGTTTTTAAAGCCCTCAATAGCTTAGCTCCACAATACATTAGTGATTATTAGCTAATTCCATATTCTGCACCTAGGTCGCTTAGGTCATCTTCACAACAACTCCTCTTAGCTTCTCATGCCTTACAACTAAAGGTGACCTGGCCTTTACTGTTGCTGTCTAACATTAAGTCCTACCCAAGCAACACCCTTCCGATTTCCGGACTGAAGACAGACCAGAAATGCCTGAAACTGCAATTCATCGAGGGGCCACTTGAGCGTGGCTCCAAAAGGGAGTTAATCTCTATTGACCCCCATGTTAAAATGCCCAACTTTACAGCAGAATAAAACATGTTTACAGCCTGGTACAAAAGATGGATTTAGAGTATATTGCTAATTTTGCCCTTCGTGACAACTGTGAGGGGGGTGAATTTTTTAATAACTCACCTGTTTAAAGTATATTAAGCCTTAAAGTTCTTATTATTAGGGGCGTGGCTGCTTTGATTGACAGGTGGCTGCCGTCTCAGTCACAGCTAGCTTAGTGACTACCGTCTGCTAACTCAGCTAATACAGTCCATCACGGAGCTCGACAGCTCTACCTGAGCGTTTTAGACATTTTGTCATGCAGATACCAGATGACTAAAGACGTGCAATTTATCAGAGAGAAAGAGAACCTCCACAGGCCTGTGCTGCAGTTGGTGAGTGAAATTCTTGTATTTTATTTAGGTGTTACAATAATTAGCTATGTGTACATAATGTTAGCTTTTTAGCTTTGCTAACGTTACCTAACCAACTAATTCGCCAGCTTTAAGCTTTGGTAACAATGTTAAAATAACAGGAGTCTGCTAACAGCAGTTTATAAAGAACCATGCAAAGAAGTAAAAGCAGAGATGTGAATTTATGGTGAAATCACTTTAGAACAAAAGTTATGCAATGTTAACGGTAAGTTAAACTTGCCAAACAGGCATTGTTAGATTTGGATAAGTAACATTAAAGATTCTCTAACAGAGTAACTGTGTCACTAGAATAAGTGTCTCCACCTGTACTGAGGACGGGGCTGAGGGTTCGGGGGGAAGCGGCGGTTGTCGTGTCGGTAAAGACAGGTAACTTAGCTGGGCTGTAAATGTTCCTGAGTTGAATAAAGTAATAATTAGTTATGTAGAGAAATCAGCAGTATGACGGCCGCTTCTGTTTGTCTAGGCTCTCCAGCTGCATGTAATTAACCTGTGAGGCCCCACTTACATTCAAGATTCAAGCACTGTTTTGTTATTGTGTAGCAGATTACTTTTGTGATAACCTAAAGGTGCATTTAAATTCACTATAAATATGTCACGCAGTACCAGTTTAACAGTAAATTTAACATAAGAGCAAAATAATTAATATACAAAACTAGCTGACTTGACTGATAAAGTGGTGTCCAGCTGCCAGATTGATATTGCACATATGAGTAAACAGTGTATTGCATATTGGCATAATTACTGTTATATGCCAGAGGTTATCATGCTAAGGCGATCTCAGAGTTCAGTAGGTTTACGGCAGTTGGGAAAAGGCTGTCAGTAACTTTCTACCATTGTTGTGTTTACAGTAGCCAGATGAGCGGATGGCAGCATCATTCCAGATGAGAAGCACCAGCTCTGCAGAAGTCCTAGCTTCCAGTGTGGCCCTGCCAGATCCTGTAGCTTACTGCCTTGTTCAGCCTTTTGTATTTGTTTCACTTTAACACCTGGACTCTGGATTATGACTCTGGGTTCCTAATCATAGGTTCTGTCATTATATTTACTGTTGAAACACATTACTACAAGTCATACAAAATAACTTTTACATTTGTAACCTTTCAATATTTATGTTTCCATGAATGCAAGATATGATTTTAATTGGTTAAACTGTTGCTTTTGTATTAGAAATCATTTTTGTTGTATAAAATGTATCAGACTAAATTTGCTTAAAATAAAACCACATTGATCATCATTCTTTCTTATGTTAATTGAATATAGTGTGAACTAAACATAACAAAATAGAATAGTTAACAGCTATAAATGAAAATATTAAGACGTGAACCTTTTGGTAGCATTTTCAATTTTAAACATATACTAGACTTATCTCTTTTAGCTAGAGTTCAGCCTTAATGTTTGATATTTTATCTGTGTATGATTAACTTGTCCTTGGAACTGACAGACAGAGTGTGAAATCTAACATTTTCAGTCAGCAATAAAGACAAAATGGGTGTAAATATATAGAGAATTTATTGCAGTGTGAACCATAATTTATGTATATTTTAAATGTGCATATGAGTAATAAATGTTGCAGGTAATTAATGTAAAATATAAAGTTAACTATAAAAGATGCCTCAGTTTGGGTGACAGTACTATTATGTCACATTTGAGAGAAAACGGAACAAGGGAGCAACACCTCAATATATAGATGACAGTCAATAACAATAGTAAATAATATTTTTTTGTGTTGTCCTTTGAAGACAGACAATGTAATATCAGCTTTCAAATGCCATGTAGCCATAACAATAAAAGCTGATTCATGGTAACGTTAAAGTTAGTCTCCACATAATATAGTGTTTCAAATTACCACATATATATTAAAAAACGTTAAAGCATTTTAAACCTTGTGTAGTATAACCTAAATAACAGAAATAGTTACTTGTTACTTTAAGTGTTGAATACTGTCAGGTTAACTTACTTCCAGTAACATTATAAGCTGGTAACGATGCGGCCACAGGCCACCAAACGCCAACCAGACAAGCTCCGAGTAGAAGCTAACGCAGAGTAGCATTTAGCATTAGCTCATTAGCCTGAGCTAACTCGGTCACGTCGAGCTAGACGGGAGTGGTTTCAGCAACCAGGCACCTTAGTTCCACCCACAACCCGCCTCTTTGCACACTTTTGGTTATCCGGGAGTGACGCGTGGTGACGCGCTGCCAAGATGGCGTTGGCCAGCTCTGCCGGTTTTGAGCTTCAAAACAGCTCTTCTGAAACAAATGGGTGACATCATGGATACTACGTCCATTGTTTTGTACAGTCTGTGGTCCTGACCCACTATTGAGAACTTTAAATCTAATTTAAAGACCTACCTTTTTTCTCTGGCTTTTACCTGATTACGTCCCTTTTTTTTAAAAATTGTTCACCGTGTGTGTGTTGTTTAGGGCTGACCCCGAAAATTGGATGCGTCAATGAGCGGAGCCTGATTCCACTGTTAATCTCACGGTCGAAGCTTCGCAGCGAAACGAGGATCATGCCATTTTGGCGATATGGGAGTGCTCAACATCTGATTTTACATGGAACTGCGGGTTTTCTCCCAATAAGGTGGGATCCCAATAAGTGTGGTGTTGGCGCAGGGCATAAGATATATGCCTTTGGTGTGAGATATTCCCGGGTTCAATTCCCCACTGTGACACATTCACCATTGTGTCCCTGAGCTAGACACTTAACCCCTTCATTGCTCCAGAGGCGTGCGACCTCTGACAGTTTTCAGTTGCTTTGGATAAAAGCGTCAGCAAAATGTAATGTAAGTTAATATACTAACTATTACGCTATAAATTTCAACATATAATGCTGTAAATAAACATGTAAAAAAGAAAGAATAAAAAAAAATGTTGTATGAATAAATCCAAATTTGTAACCATAACCCTTAAGAAAGGACACATGTGTAAGGCAAGGCAAGTTTATTTGTATAGCACGTTTCAACAACAAGGCAATTCAAAGTGCTTTAAACAAAACATAAAAGAAACAGGAAAATATAAAAAAGTTTAAAAGCAACATAGCTTCTTGTTTTGATTCCTCTTGTCTCTTGTCCTTGGCAGAGGGAACAGATGAGTGACGCAGAAAGTAAAACAGGTTGGAGCTGAACAATTTTACTCCTGACTTGTTAAGGCGTAGTCCATCTGCCTTAAAAAGATGTCTGCGGTCCCATAGAAAGTAAAAGTTTTCGATGAAATGCACTGAATGGACAGTACATGCCATTGAGAGCCACGTGTTCAATGCCATCAATCTGCTGAATCTCTCAGCTCCTCTTTGGATTTGCGGTATAGGGCCACTGATAAACACCTCAGCATTCAAAGAGCTGACTGTGTTCAACAGTTTATTAAAGTCCTTTCAACACTTCAGACGGTTGCTTCACAATATCATTGTGCAGTATGATGTTTTTCACAGTAGGATATTCAGCCACGATATGCAGGATTCTTTCTGCCAAGTCAGACACCGTATCCTTTGGAAAGAGTATTTTGATGTTCTTACTGCACATGCTTCTTACTTCATTTACAGCAGTCATCCACAATGACAGTTTGAGGCCCAGTCGTTAGCTTTCCTTGCAGCCTTTTACTTTCTGATTTACTCTCAGTCCTTACCCTTCTGTGTGGGGATGGGATGTTTTCCAGGTCATCAGACGGAGATCCAGGGTCCTGCAATAGTGCTGAAAATCTGTTCTGCTGTTGCACACTCAGTTTTTGGGGAGGTTTGTAGCTAACTCTCCCTTTCACAGCTGTCCATGGCTGTGTCCTACTAAGAACAGGGGTTGAAGAGGCCCCTCTGCCTGGATGATAATGCAGACCAGCCAGTCGCATCACAAATCTCAGGGTGCTGGGTTCTGTCTGTTACTCGAGTTTCAGCAAAAGAATACAAGCAGAGGTAAGAGCAAGCAGCAAAGCGTCTGCACTGTAAGAAAGCAGTGTAGGCATAGCGTGTATGTGTTAATGTGTGAGTGTGTAGTGGCAGTGGAGGAACACTTGCTGTTGAGACGGAGCCCCAGCTTCACCAGTGTTGTGCCGAGTTGTCGGCACCTCGTTCAGATCATTTATCGCCATTGATGAACCACACAAAGAATATTATCATTTTTAAATAGTATTTGAAATAGACCCACGAACAACAACGAAGTGCATGCAGCTTTTGGCCGCACAGAATGCCTGCAAAACTCGGCACAAGACTGGTGAATGGCAGGCAAGCAGAGAGAAAATGGTCTACAATAAGCCTCAATTTAGCTGGAAATGTACAGCTTAAATTACAGATATACAGTGGCTGATAAATAGAGACTGCAGCTCTACAGCTTCTCAAGATTAAAGTGGAGCTACCGTGTGTAACCCCGCTCGCAATCACAGTGCACAAACAGGCCTACATGATTCGACTATCAGTCGACTATAGGCGAGACTTGACTATTCTGATTTGACTTTGTAAATCCTTAGTCGGGGACAGCTCATGTGTTGTTATTGTATTATTAAAATGATAAACTCATCCACAGTCTTTCATAGAACACGTTCAAACTGATAATCACTTAAATTCAAATTAGCCCACAAATGAACCCTCAATCTGCCAGCTTAATACTATAAAACATTGTTTAACAAGATGAAGGCATATTTAATCTCATAAAACCATCCCTTAGAGAAATAATACAATAAAATAAAATCAGAGCATGACTGACTGCATAACTTAAATGAAACATAAACACACACATTATCTTAAGAAATAATAATAATTTACATTTGCAGCAGCATTTGCAGCTTGTGAAAAGTCGATTTCACACACAACTAGATTAATGGGCACTTCATCTCTACAGTGTCCATCTCTGAGATTTTGTTTGCAAGTCAACACTCATCTAAACTGTCACTGAATGAAAGTCATGGTGTTTGCCAGCAAAAACACACACATCAGATTTGTGCTGCAAAAAACACCCAGAGATGCAAACATAAGTGCATTGTATGCAAAGCTTCACTCTGGCACTTGTATTTAATTTAATTAGTCAAATGTATTCAGCTGCAGGGGAGCATCAAAGGAAACATCCTCTTTGCTCACCACTTTTATAACAAAATGCTTGATTTTCCATCCACATCCATCTGTCAACAAACCTGACCTACACTGGCACTTGCAAGCTAACTAACATTAGCAGGTGACAAGGCATTTATCATAGAGACAAACAGATTTGCAATGCACATTTAAAACAATAAACACAATGTAACAGCAGGAGCTGTCTTACCTGAAACAAGGTGCTCAGTTTGGTCAGCTGACTCTTTCCTTACAGGCAGCTATCACCAGCAGAGCGAATGTTAGCTAACGTTAGTCATAGTTAACAGTTGTTGTTAAAAGTTACTCCCACCGCCTCACTGGTTTCATTTTTCGAATTGTCTTCAAAAATGTGTGGTGTCACCATCGTCCTCTGAGTTATTGTTGTACATGTTTGTTTCTTCATTTTCTTTGTTTTTTTTTAAAAAAAGAGTCAACTTCTGTAGCTAGATTGTTCCCTCCATCTTGGATTTGGTCAGCCCGCTAACTCAAATCAACCTGAAGGAGCTCTATGCGCAGCAGCGCCACCCTCTGGTGAAGAGAGTGAACGCAGACATTTTGACAAGTCACAGCAGGAAAAGCACGTAAATAGTCAAATTAATGTTGGCTGATTACTGGGAAACTTGAATATAATGTAGCCTTTATTAATGTTATTAGTAACACCTGTGCGTTTCCTATTATGACAAATCAAATGTCTGCTGTGAAAAATGTTTATAAAGAGGGGTTTGTGCTTTTTATAATCTGCCAACATTCATTCTGTGATGTGCAGCAGCTTGCGAGTTATATACTGCATTAAGGTCTATGGAGACACGTTCAGTCTTGTTTATAACACCGCATCTGTGATAGACCTTCTTCACAGCAGACATTTTGACTGTCACAGCATATATGTTAACTCACATAGCAAGCACAGGTGCATTTAGTGACAGAAATTATGGCTGCATTGTAATTGGGAGTGCTCCTGCTACCAGGGTCCTGTAACCCTGGTATTGTGCAAGCTGCCTCGCTGAAGTGGCTTTTACTCAAACACTTGAATGGATTCATGTTATTATAGTAACACCTGTGAAAATGTTTGCCATGAAAACAGACTAAACATTCAAAATGACAAGTATTACACAAGTTTATATAGAACTTTTCTTATTATGCCAAGTTTATTAGTTAAAAATGGCACAATGCATTAAATCCTAATGC